TGGGTCTTATTTAGCTAGTAAGGAAAAAGGGCTTTCTGGGAGTTAACAAGGCTGCCTAGGGAGGGGCTGGAGGAGACGGCCTCTGCTCAAGAAGGGTCTCTGTCTCCCCAGAACCCGGGTCTCTGCATTTTAGGCCCAGCGTTTTCTGGATGTAGCTGCTTCCAGCTTCATGGAAGACTTGGTCGCGGAGCTGAGAACCTTCCTTCTGCTTTCTTTCCCCTTTCTCTTCCCTTTTAACCAAACTTGGTTTTTCCTGTGCCCCTTTCTTTCAGCCCACCCCAAACAGCCCACATCTGTGGGCTGAGGCATTTTGGGCCCTTGAAGACTGTTTTAAAGAGATGGAGCTGCCAGGGCAGGAGCTGAGAAGGCAGGTTGGGGAAAATGCCCTTGGGTCATTAGTGCCCCTTGTTCTAAACTTCCTAGGTCAGTGAATCTCAGTGGTGGCTGTGGGGTTAAGGTCTTTTTAGCATTCTGCCCCTTACAGTTTCTAATGACAGCTGTTATAAGAGGTAGCACCCTGAATGTGTATCACATGATGCTTCTCAAACTTTGGTGGATACTTCTTTTAAGGGGGAAAAAACCTACTTCCCATGAGCCTGTAGTGTTGGTAATATTTTTATCACAATATTGCTTAAATATACAAACATAAAACCAGATAAAACTTTTTCTAAGTTCATATTTAGAGACTTAAAAACCCCTAACAAAAGGGTGGCTAAAAGTGTAAAGACAAAAACCCGATGCCAATAAAATGAAGATAAAACAATATAATGAGATGGATGATGATGATTGGCTGAAACACAGTCACTGCTTTCAGTGCCACTGTGGGCTGACTGCTGTTACCAGGATTCTAAGGTACTCCACAGACCTCTAATGTCACATGCTTGGAGGTATGGTCCTCCCTCCACTTTTCTCTATAAAATCTCTCATTCAACATGGATCTGACTCAATTTAGCCTTCTCTTGGCTTGAATGCACCGTTTATATTCAGCATTAATTCCTCAGTCTTGCCTTTTGCCAGCTTATGACGATTAAACTAGTGGCATCAATACAGTTGTAGACACAAAGGCAAATGTGGAATTTGGGCACTGAAATCTTCCACCCCAGAGACAGTGGAATAGCATCTCCCTTCCATAG